TTCATGATCATTTTTCTAATAATTTCTTCTACATGCGGAGGCACTGCATCCTAAACATGCATTATATAGATAAAAATAAATTTTTGTTATAGAAATAAACATTAGATTAAAAAATCAAACAATAAAAGTAATAGCAATCTTAATTCAAGCAACATTCAAGCAATCTTATTTCACGCAAAAAACAAAACTCTGTTAGAGTAATAAACACCTTAATTCCCAAATTAAAATAAGCTTTAGAAAATGTCACAAATTTTTATTTAAATGTACACAAATTAAAAAATAATTTTCAAATAATATTTTTTCTTAAAATATAAGCAATTGAAAAACATTTTAATTTTTAAAATGAAATCTGTTTAAATAAACAATTGTTTGTTCATATATAAAGAGATATATGTTTTCATAATAGGAAACATACACTTGTTTATATTTGAACAATTATTTATCCTTATAATTGATTGTTCTTTTAAATATAAAACAGGAATAGAGCATCGTGCATCATGATTAGTAGAAAATAATAGAGAAAGCAAAAACTATTAAAACATCAAAGTTTTTCCAACCTTGAAAGTCGTTGACATTTCTTTGAGATAATTCACTGTTGAGTGAAGTTTGCTGACTCCATAGTTGGATGTATTTCATCCTTTATAAAAACAAGTTTATTTTTAATCCTTAACTACCTTCGTAGGGTAAATTTCTACCCCACATAGATATGAAAAATGTGTTTTTAAGACTTAAAAAGTTAAAACTGCGGTAAAAAAGTGCAATTGTTTTCTTAAATAATTTTTTCTAAATATCGAAGGTAGTTAAGGGTTAATGTCATTTTTATCTTTATAATGAATACAATATTTTAGCATTATTACTTACTTTTATAGCTTCTATACTATTATTTGCTAATAAGCGCTTATTTCCCAAAGAATTCAATAAGCTTCTTAAATTGCAAACTCTTTTCTTCAAACGTTTGCATGTTTGCATAATACATTTCTTTTTCTGCCTATTATATATTGTTGACCTGACAAATGTATTCCACGCCTTATCAGATGTAAAGTTGCTTCTTGTAAAAGTTGCAACTGCATTACTTGGAAGATCCAAATAAATTGTTTTATGTGGCACATTTTCATTACAGCTATCCCCCCCCATTTGCCTATAATTAAAAACTTTCTTGAATAAAATTAAATTGACATATGTAATCACTACTTACAAATACGTACACATTAATAATTTTCCTCTTTCTAATAGTAGTATTCATGTTTTCGTCTTCATAATCATTTATCTGCTCATTTGTTTCCCTGTGTGTTAAATTGTTTCTAAGAAAAGTATAAGATTAATATTAAATATATAAATAATCACATTAATTCTAAATAATGATAAATTGATATTTACCTATTCTCCTTACTTATAGGTAATGCAGTTGACAATAAACGTTTCCTTTCTTTGGTGTCATAATTAAAATCATTTTTATGAAAATGATCACTACAAATTCGAGCAGATGAATAATTGACAACTTTGTCAATTGCTTCAAACCATTTTTGTTTTTGGTCTGCATTTTTAGGAAAGCTAAATAATATATTTTTAGTTAGTATTTTGAATAAAATATTTTTAAAATATTTTAATTTAAAAATGTGTTCTTATATATATACATAAAAAACATTTACCAGTGAAATGTACGATTTTCATTTGGATTTGCTTCTTTCCC